AAGCATCGCCGTCAAACACGTAAAGAAGGAAGCACGATTTTGTATAACAAAAGTACTTGCACTGTTTTCATTTCAAATGCAGGTTTTCTGTTTTCTTTTTCTCTTCAAATGCAATTTCTTTTCAAATGCAAGTACAAATTACTTTCAGAATCAAGAATAATTGTAGGTTTATATACTTACATCTCTGTCGATCAATACCATCTCCAAGCTGTAAATGTCATCGATTTTTCCAAATATAGGATTTTCCCAGAGTCGAACAACGCGAACACGGAATGCCCACTTGGTTTTGGTAGGAACGATGTCTGTGAGCATATCTATTATGGGAGAAATCTTACTGCACACACAAATAAAAAGGTTAATCTTGCACATACAAATAAAAATGTTAAGGTTTAACTTAAATTGCGAAAACAAAAAATGAAGCAGATACCGGTAAAAATAAAAAAAAGGGACTGTCGCTTACATGAGAAAAGAGCCTGATGATGAACGAAAATATATGAGAAACGCTGACAAAGTTTAAAACGCTGATACGCAACACTTTTTGTGAGGATAAAATTGAATTTCAAATTTAGGGGTTGGGTGGGAGAGGAGGGGTGGAGTGAAGTACAGTGGTCGAGTTGAAAAATTGAAAAATGGAGATGTGAAAAAGTCTACAAATATCCTGACACGGGGAGTTGAAAAATTGAAAAATGGAGATTATCATGAAAAGTATATGTATTAGGGATTGGGTGGGATGGGAGGGGACGGGTGGAGTGAAGTACAGTGGGCGAGTTGAAAAATTGAAAAATGAAAATGTGAAAAAGCCTGCAAATATCCTGATATTGGGAATTGAAAAATTTTAAAATGAAGATGTGAAAAAGCGTGCAAATATCCGAATAAAAAAATTTGAGACGATATATTCTCATCACCATTTCTTTTGTGACAGTAAATTATAATGAGACAACAGTTTACTTAATCCAAACCAAAGAAATACTTTTAACCCATGCGTGCTAATAATAATTATAGTTAGAATAAACAAAGTAAAAAAAAATGGAAAAATATTCTCAAATTTTTTTAAAGAAAGATTGAATAGTTGTTCAATGTGAAATGGAAAAATATAAAATCTTCTCAATAGTTGATGTTTAATGAGAAATGAAAAAATATAAAATATTCTCAAGAAACTTGTTGCAGTGGAAATATTCTAAAAAATTTGAAAGAAACAGTTGTTGCATTTAATGTTTTCATATGTGTGATAATGTGATGCAGTGGTTGCGTGACAGCCATAATACTGCAGCATTTATTAGTGTTATTTAAAAAATTTGAACAGCTATTGAGAAAATAAAATGAATAAAAAAATTTGTCTGGGCTTGTGCGGGAAAAATGTGCAGTTCAGTGGCGCGAAAAAACGTTGCTGCTATCCTCATTTAATATAGTATAAGATAAGATACCAACAGAGAACAAATTATAAAATCAGGACTAAATTTCAATGAAACAATTAAGAGAGTGATGATTACGAATTGTACTACTTGAGATGAAAGTGATATATTAGCAAGATTGTAGAAAATGCTGAAATTGTGGAGAATGTCGAAATGAGATGAAAATGATTTACATTCTCTATTTATAAACCCGGAATTCAACATAAAAAATAGAAATTTCAAATTTCAAATTCAAATTTAATGGCACTCTATATGATGCAAGGTGCCATCAAGCAACCAAGTAGGCTGCTCAGCTCAACTCTTGAGCCGATGATGAGCTAGGTCGCAAGTCGACTAGCAACTCATACGAGAAATCTACTGCTCATCTTTCTAGTTGGCGAGCTGCTTAACACCCTTACATTTTTTCATATAAATCTCTTTTGGATTCAAATTTGGAACACAGTGCTTTTTTAAAGAGAGTAATGTTGCATCACTAGTTAAGTGGCGATGGATCCCTGCTTCACAAGCAATGAATCAAAGGGCCCCTCACCACCTAACCAATGATACATCTCTAATAGATAGCATTGTTCTTCTGGAAAACTAACAAGAGAAAAACAAGGTTAGTTGGTTTGATGATAAAGGGCCGGATTGAATCTTGCTAGTAAAATGCATATGCAACACAACATTGACTAGAACGTCGTGTTGTCTTGGGGCTGCTGATACCCGACCCTTCTTTCATCGTCCAACGAGCTGCTATACAAGATCGTTTATAACAATCTATTCATCAAGCTGCTATGCCTGATCTCTCTTTTTTTCTTCCAACGAGCAAACGATAACTTACAGACGGTTTCTAAACATTGTAGTTTTGCCCAAATGAAGTTTTGGATGGTCCATGCCCCCACCTTATTCTACATATTAGTACGCCTTTTAAATTATTAACATAGCAGTAAATGTATATACAGATGTTAAAAACACAAAAAGAGCAGTGATACATAGTATATAAAAACTCGTTTTACTTCTAATCAAGCTAGTTAGATTCATTAGCATTCGACTCTCCAAAAAACCTGCTGTTCACCCCTGCTCTATATAAATGCAGACCTGAAGTAGTTGCAGCAGTGATCTCAATGTTAGCACATGTAAAAAGCACGTCGCCTTCAGCAACCGACTCTTCATGGCTTACTGTCTGTATTTTTCCCTCTCCTGCCATGACCAGAAACACGGACGGACCAGGGACTACAGGAAAGACAGTTGATGCTTCTTGGGGAAGGAAACATCGATCGACCTCGAATTCGTCAAATGGAGGGATATATTTTACTGTATAAGCATTTAAAGCAACTCCTTTGAGGACTTGTGGCAGGCCCTGCAATAACAATTGAAATGCAAGGAATTTCAAGACTATGCTGCCAATGTCGAGTGCAGATTCTTCAATAAAATGATTAGATGTTAACCTTGATTTCCAATAGTTCTCTCAGTGACCGAGTTGCTCTCATGTGCATAGCTACCAAGTTAGCACACTTGAGAGCAAACAATACACTCAAATATTTCTTGTGACTTAATCTAAGAGCATGTTTGGTAAACAGTTATGGACTACAAGAGAATACAACAGACAAAATTCATGTCCTTTTTGTTCTTTAATACTGTCCAACTCTTCCAATGCCATAAGGAATAAGGGTACAGAATAACATCTTAAGCTAATGTATATCATCACCTGCTTGTATGTGAGCATGGAACAGAGAGTTTGTACATCCAAATTCTTTGGAGTAAGGCCAGCACGTACAACATTGTCCGATGCAGCCATGCACTCGATGCATTCACCATATAAATAAGCATGAGGTTCATTTGCCCCTAAATATAGGGCTTCACCTGAATTAAGCTTAATGTAATTTAAAAGGAATGCTGCTATAACACCAACATCTCCCGGATATTCCTTCTCAAGCCGCAATACCAGCTCTTCCTTGTCAGTCAACTCCCTCACCTACAAACACGAGAATTAATTGTTTACAATTCAGTTTTAAGCTCCAAAAGAAGATTTTAGAAATATAGATATATGACCACACAACAAAATCAAGGTCCCTCAATAACTTTGGCATGCAAAAACCTTTCCATCGGTAAAGCCGAGACAGGCCACAAATTTTTTTTTGAGAACCAGGTCAGGCCAGTGGTTACATGGCCTTCTCAATTTACACCAACTGCAACTGAAAACACTTGCTGCATGCAATTAAGGGTGAAAAGAGATGTTGGACAAAAATGAAGTTTGACTCTGAAATAATGCTAATGAAGATGACAAGCAACTCAGCAGTATTTGACTACAGAAATGAAAAATGTATGTCCACCTAAAATGCTAGAGAGAATTTCCACTACCTCATGTTTTGCGTTTAGTCGACTTATCAACTTGGAGATTGCTTCAGAAATCACAACCTTCTTAGCTGACATGAGTTCGGAAAATATGGATCGCAAAACCTCTTTCGATTTTTCTTCCCCATCCTGTTGCTTGATTTGCAATACTTGATCTGCACGTGCACTGCCGACTACTTCTACAATCTCAGGTACATTGTGAACAACAAGCTTAAGCTCCTAAACACAATCAAAACAGCATCCAAGTAAATGTATTGAATTTCTAGAGAATGATAGTAGACAAATCAAGACAAAAAGATTTGGCTTTTAACTTATACCAAGTAAAAAATATTTGCCTGTTTCACAACATTTAATTCTTCTAATAAATGCCTTCAAAAATTTCTAAAATTGCCGCATTAGTGTAAGACAGGGCACATGGAATTACATGTTCTTAAACGTCATGCTTTAAACCAATGACAGAAATAGCATAAAAGCACCAACAAAATATATGTACAACTGACATCATTGAGTAATAGTACAATTGGTTGATATCATTCTCACACAACAAGTTTCAGGCATACAACAACTTCGCCTAATAATCCAATGATCACCGAAACCACGTCACCTGGGTATCGTGAGAATCAAAATTTCGGATATCAAATGATCATGTTTTCACTGGACTTCATCAAGCATTGCACTGATCACAAACAATTTAGATCCTCATACTTCAAACCGACTTTTCTCAAGAGCTCCATAAGCAAAACTAAGTCTAAAACGCCATTGACATCAAATGCAAGGTTTTAGAATGAAAAAGCGGTTAAAATCAATATATAACCTGCGATAAGGGATTGATTCAGAGCATGTTTATGGTCATCTTGATGTTCAAAAGCGAAGATGAATATTAACAACACAACTCAATCAGCTTGCAAACGTATGTTTAATTAAAACATGCACAACCGAAGAAAACCATGTATATGGTCAAATTATGAATGGATCTGCAAAAAAAAAAACTGTTCCATATAACAGATTAACAGCTGAAAACAAGTTAGAAATGTATCTCCATTCATTCTTCAGTCTTACAAGATATCAGAATGAATGGCTTAAAAAGATGAAACTACACTTTCCACTAACAGCACATCATAAGCGAATTTTCAAGCTAATAAAGACATTCAGTTCCAAATACAGTAATTGAACCAAATAATAAATATAATCAACCAAAGTGTAGAAGACGTGTACAGTACCTCAAGACTGATAAACCCGCATAAAGCCTCGAACTCGGTGATTGCCAAAGCCATCTCAGGCTTGTGATTGTCATCCTTATATATGTCCGGATATTGTTTATGAAGAACTTCGGCCAAAACCTTATCTGGATGAGCTTGTATCGACAACGCCTTTGCCACTGAAAGTACCTTCAAAACACCAATTCGTCAGAAACCAACTAGTAACACAGTATACAGAGAAATGAAACTTCAATTTTTTCCACATATCAATAGATGAACATATATTTTACACGTCCAAATTTCAAAAATACCCAAAGAAAAAAAATACCAATTTCAAAGAGTAAAAGTAAAGTCCAAAATTAATGATGACTAGAAAATGAATTTCCTAAAAGAAGTGATATAACACTAAATCCATCCAAGTTAAATCCATAATTCGAGCAGGATTCAAGGGTGAGCATACCTTGAAGAGAAAAGGGAGACTGTGGCCCCATTTTTGCAAAACCTTATCACCAATCACACTGGGGTTCTGCTCAATCCAATCCTTCAAATTTACCAAATTACAGCTATTCCCACTATTCGCCACTTCATTCTCTCCCTGATCCACCGTCACCGGCGCCACGACGGCGTATGAGGGCCCAGACTCGTGGGTACCCATCCAGAACTCAGCATACGGCTTAAAATCATCTGCTTCTTCTCCACTGTTCTTCGCGTACAACTGTGCAACGCTCGAACCCGTCCCAATTTTACCCCAATCGTAGTTCTTTACACAGCACTTAAGCTTAACAATTCCTGGATTCTCAAATTCCATGGGAACTGAATTCCGAGTTGTAGAGAGAGAAGGTAAGAAAAATGGAGAATTGGGTTTGAGACTTTGAGTCCATTGGAAAAAGAAACGGAAGCTATTTGAAGGCAACAATTCGAGAGGGAAAGTGGACAGAAAAAGTAACGGCGCGTGAATTTTCCTGGAGTTATCGTTTTATTTGGAGACACGTCACGTGAATCATCATCAATGGAGAGAAAATTTCACTAGGAGAAGTGGAGAGAGAAAGTAACGGCACTTGAATTTTCTTGGCATTATCGTTAAATTTGGGGACACGTCATGGAAATCATCGACAATTTGGACAGAAAATTTCACTATTGGTCCTCAACATATTGTTCCAATAGTAAGTTGATCTTTAACCTTAATAAATTAGCAAGTTGGTCTCCAGTTATCATTATTGTTGCAATCAACTATAGATTTATGTTAAATTGTCATGTCGTAAGAGCACGTTCAACTTATATTGTTCTCTTACTTTGGTTATCGTCCAGAATTTTGAATTCTTACATGCTTTTATGAAGACCACGTGATAATTTTTATATTATCGACAATACTATCAAAATTATATTAGATGAATGAATTCAACTAACAAATAAAGAGCTCGCCTAATTATCGTAAAAAATCAAAGATTTTAAAACTATTTAAAGCACCTAATAATTGACCAATTGTGTTCAAATGCACGCTAGTTTGCAACATAAAACTGACCAATCACACCAAAATTTTATTTATATATTTTAATATCGATCTTACCATAATTCAACTCTGATGTAACAATTTGACTATTTACCCTATAATCGACATGTATACTTTTAGAACAAGCACAACCCAGACGGGGCCCTGATTTTTCATAGTCCCAAATTGCCCATTAACCTATCCAAAAGTGGGTTAGTATGAGCCAAATCTACTTATTTTATTTTTTGGGGACAATACATTGGGGACCAGAGATGTAATTTTTCTAAAGAATTGGGGAAACGTAATGGCGGGGTGACGCATGGCGTTACGAATTGGAGCCATGCGTTGGCGGTTTAGTGGCCAGAAAATTAATATCGGCAGTTACAGTTTTTGGGTCCTTCCAAAGGATAATGGTTTTGGGGCCCAATTATTAAAATTTTCAATTTTAACCTTAAATGCTATTTATCATTATGATAATAAAATATCGGTGATATGACAGCCTATATTAAATAATGAGATTGAGTAGTTCAATTTTTATGAGAGAAGGGGGAGGGGAGAGAGAGAGTGAAATTTAAGGAATAATGAGGTGCTACATCACCGATATTCCATAATCATGATAATAAATAATATTACTCTATTTTAAAGCAATGTGCATTGTTCTCTTTTTAATTTTTATAATTATTGTTGGCATTATGAACCAATATTCTTGAATTATTCTACTTGTACATTCTCTGTGTGCAGCATGTTTGATATTGTGTGAGATGTAAAAATTGGGTCATTGCTAGTTTGAAGTGTTGTTAAAATAAATGACAAAACTGTGTATCACATTGCACAGTATCAAAAAAAAAATGCCAACCGTGAACGTACATTAATTAATGTAGTGCTCCTGTTTGGTTTAACTAGAATCGAATTTTAATAGATTTTGATAAAATTTGATGAACTGTATGGTTAAAAAGTTGATAAAAGTTATAGAACCCATGAAATGTGAGTGAGAATAAATTTTAGAAAAAAAATAAGTTCTAAAAATGGGAGCCAAAAATGAGCATAATTAACTTAAGCTACTATGCCCATCGACACAAAATTAGATTGCTAATAATGTAATTATATGCAAACATCGATAATTGTGTATAGCTTGTTTGTCTCCCATTATTGAGAGAAAATTAGTGTAATGAATATTATTTTTTGGAGAATGTATGGTTGAAAATTAAAGTAACTTTA